TTAAAGTTGCAAATTTGCAAGTTTCAGTAAAGTAGTATTAAAATAAAATAATATATGAATAGGTTTAAAATTTAAATTTTTAAAAAATTTAATATAATTAATATTTTGTATTAATTTAAAAGAAAAAGATAAAGATGAACAAGATTAATTGCAATTTGAGAGTATTTAAAAATAGAATAAGAAGATAAAAAATAATTTGAATAAAATATTTTTTTATAATTAAGTTTTGTAAAAAGAATAGTAGTAAAGTTGAATAGAATATCTTTTAAAATAAACTGAAGATAATTAAATAATATATTGGTATTGTTGTTATTAGTTATATTTTGATAGATAAAGTTGATAATAAATTGTAATTGTTAAGAAGCTATATATTATAATAAATTGTCAAAATTGCTTTTAGTAGCTTGTTGGTTAGAAGCTTCAGATTGAATAATTTGATTAGGATAGAAATTTAAAAGAAATGGTTTGATAAAATCAAGAATTTGAATACTAAGAGATGTTAAAAATTGAGTTTGTTTTTCTGCTTTGATGTTAATTAGAAAAGCTTGAAACTAGTCAAAAATATTGTTAATTAAGCTAGTTGAGTTATATTTAAATAAATGATAAAAAAATCTATATTGAGATATTTTTAAAAGAAATAAGTATATATGATAGTTGGTTTATATATGTTTTGTATTTGTTGTAGAAATTATTCTAAGTTTTTTGTAAGAGTTAAAATGATAGTAAAAAATTAAAATAATAGTTAAAATTTCTAAGTTTTTTTGGGGATATAGAATTTATAAATTAGAGGTTAAGAGTATATAAATAACAAGAGTAATTTAAAAAGTAGCTAGTGTAGCTTTATGTATAAGCTTGTATAATTTTGTACAGTACGTGACACCTAAAGACTAAAATAAATTTATAAAATTTTAAATGTTAATAGCTTATAATGTAATAATAATAAAACAAAAAAAAAGACTGCCAAATTGTAGCTAAATCAATTAACTACAACTTGGCAGCCTTCTTTTTTTTAAAAAAATTATTTATTTATAACTTATACCTGTTTAAAAATATCCAATTTTACATATATTTTAGGCAAAATAGGACAAAAAATATGATTTTGGTTGACCAATCAATTTTAATTTTATGCATATTCGAAATTTGATTAGCGATCAGATATCACGTAATTAACAAATAGATCCAAATTCAGCACAATATTTAAGTAGACAATGCCTTTGATATGCCTTATTAGGAATAAAGCCATTTTTTTTTCACAGTCCAATTTCAATAAATATGTATGTCAAAAAAATTTCTCATACCCTGTACTTTTTATTTGAGAAGAGGACTAGTGTATAGAATATGAATCTGAAGTATTTGTAATTAAGGAGCTCTAATTTTTCTTTTTTTTTCTCAAAGACAAAATAAAAAAAGAATAATTTTTAAAATCAAAGTTTTTTCAAAAATTGTAAAGACCAAATTAAAGTATGCCAAAACGGAAGAGTTATAAAATGCTTCAAAAATACAATAATAAACAAAGAAAACAAGCCAAAAAAAGTCGGAAGAAGAAGGTTGAAGAGGAGGAATTTGAGAACAAATTTGCTGATATCTTGAGTGAAGATAATGAGTTTGATGAAAAGAAAAGTGAAAAGAGACTGATGAAGAGAAAAGTGAAAAAAAAGACTGATAAAAAAGAAAAAACAACTTTCACATAGAAAAAAAAAGAGAGAAAAAGCACAAGAGTAATAAAAGGATTGCCAAAATCAACATATTATTATAAGTTTGGTATTTTCGGTATGTTTGCAAGTTTTGCTAAAGGAACTCACAAAATTACTTATTTTTTTAAAACTGCAAGGTTAGTAAATTAGGTTTTAGTTTTTGTATGATAAACAGATTTTTAACTTTTTTTTTTTAATTATTATTAACTACTAGAAGTTCTTTAATGTTTTTAGTATCTCCCACGATTTCTCAAACAAACAAACTTTTTAGTAACTCTATATTCCTCAAGTAAGTGGGTCTTTAGTAACTTCGGCTAAGTCAGATATTAAAGAAATACCAATTTTAGTTGAGTTTAACGAAAAAATAATAACTTTGGCTGAGTCTGATAAAGAAATGATAGCTTCAGCTAAGTCTGACGAAAAAGAAATATAAATTTTAGCTGAGTCTAATGTGGAAGAAACATTTAATATAGGAGAAATATTTGGTGTAGAAGAAATGTCTGAAATAGAAATATCTGATATAGAAGAGATAATATTTAATACAGACAAAATGTGCTTTACAAATTGTGAAGCAATTAAACAACTTTGGATGGATTTAAAAAATAAACAAACACTTATAGTCACTGAATATAATGAACAACAGTTAGTTTATAAGTATTTGGTGCAGTTAGAAGGTGGTACCAGAAAGATGAAAGCAAGTAATAAAGCTGCATATATTACTTTTATCTCTTCAAAACTATACATAGCACAAAGAATTCAGTTTTTAACTGATTTCTATTTACAATATAGTTCATTTCCAATTACACAATATAGTAAGTATCAAAAGTACAAGTGAATGATTGATGATAAGGATATTGTATTGCAATATTGACAATAGATACACAATGAAACAGGTGTAAATAGCATTAGCTCATATTGTTTTATATAGTATATAAAATAATGTTATTTTACCTGAACATGTAGGAGATAAAAAAAAACAATTAGTTTGCGTATTGCAGAAAGATAGTTGAATACTTTAGGGTGTGAATGTAAAGAATATAAAAAAGATATATATTTCGACGGGTATGAAAGGGAGAATGTTGTGGCGTATAGTCAAATTTTTTTAGATAGAATAAGAGTGTTAGAGCAAAGAATAGCAACGTATGATGAAGAAGCAATAATAAAAGTTCTACTAGTTTTAAATAGAGAGGAACAAGAACTAATTTTTGTAACCCACAATGAAAGTATATTTTATACAAATGATAGAAAGAGAAAAATTTGGATATCTACTAGAAATATGTTATTATGAAAAAAAAGAACAAAAGATTAGTAATGGTGAGCAAATTTATTTCAAAAGAGTGTAGTTGATTAAAGCTAAACAATGAAGAGATAAAAATGCACCCAAACATTTTTGCAAAGATATAATGCTATATAATACCTGGTAAAAATCAAGAAAATTATTGGACTATTGACAATTTGTTAGATCAAGACCAAAATAAAGTGATTCTAATTTTTTTGACAAAGTTTCCTAACACAACTGCTGTTTTTGTTTTTGACAATAGCACTAATCATACAGCATATGTGAAAGATGCTTTTATTGCATCGAAAATGAATTTGGAGCCTAGAAAAAACTAACCAGTAATGTGGTCTACAACTTATGTCGATGCCAATAAAATTTGAAGAGCCCAACAAATGATTTTTGATAGTGATGCAAGAAAAGCCAAAAGGAATAAAGTTAATATTGCAAAAAAGAGAACTTTGGAGAAAAGGATTGTATTTAGAATGCAAACTGTATAAAAATAAAAAATCATAAAATAATTCTTTATAAGTAGATTGCTGTGTAAGAAGGATTATGGCTACCTAGTCTGATTTTATTGTGCAAAAGTCAGCCATTGTAGAATTGATTGAGGAAGCTAGTTATTTGTGTATTTTTTATCCGAAATTTCACTGTGAACTTAATTTCATTAAAATATATTGGGGTGCAGCCAAGTGCTATACAAGAAATTACTGTAATTACTCTTGGGTTGGCTTACAACAAATTATTTCATAGGTACTCAACTCTGTTTATGTTATTACAATCTGAAGGTTTGCTAAAAAATTCTAGAGGTATATAGAATTGTACTGTAAAGGATTAACTAGACAATTGGCAGAGTTCGCTTGCAAGAAATTTAAGTCACATAGGCAGATTTCATGGCAAAAATTAGATCTTTTCATGCAAGAAAATATTTGATTGTATTGTAAGTTTTGTTTTTATTTTTTATTTTATTTTTTTTGTAAAATTCTTAAATAGTTTATTCGATTTTATTTTATTTTTTTTTTTTGGTGTTAAGATGGCCTCTTGGCTGGCTCCTTTTATTCGGTTATAGTTAACTTTTACAATATACGTTTATAGCATCTCGTATACATATTTGGAGAGTACATACTAGTCACACGTACAACTTTTGGTTGCCTATTTAAGTAGTCCGCTTATTACTAAGTTTATTCGATTTTAGACCAAATGAAAAGGTGGATAGAATTATTAGAATTATTGATTCAGTTTTAGAAACAAAATGAATTTGAAAAAGACTTGATTTTGTTTTTTTTGTTTTTTTTTTTTTTGATAAATTTTAATTTTTTTGAGATTTAATTTTTTTTAAATTTCAATTTTTTTAAGATTTAATTTTTCTTAAATTTTAATTTTTTTTTGGTTGTTTTATTTCACTTTTTTTTTTAAAATATAAAATATATATTTAGCTTAGATATTAGCAAATTAATTCAGATATAATTCAGTCAAATTATATATAAAGATAAATAGGTGAAAATTTAAATATTAATATTGCATTAAATAATACATATAGCAAAAATCGGTTTTTAGTAAAAAAAAAATAAAATAAAAGCATTGCACGAATAAAAAAAAATCGATTTGTACAAGGATTAGACCCAAATAACCAGATGTTGTTAAATTTTTAATATTATAGCTGTTTTTAATGATTTTAGCAATAATCGATTATGTATATCTTGCTAAATGATATTTTCAAAGCATATTCATTATTTATTAGTATCTACTTATATAATATAAATACTTATATTCAGAACATACAAACCAGATATACAAATATATATATTGGATATGTATTTAAGCAAATATGTACTTAGCTTTAAATATGTTAATATTGTATATAGTTTAAAATACTATCGCTATATTAAAAAATATATTGATATATCGATATATAAATTATGCCCCAAATCAAATTTTATCACCAAATTGATTGGTCATATGAGCATATCCAAAATATATGTAAATCAACTTTTTGGCCTATTTTAATTTTTGGATCCAAAATAGAACAGGTTACGTAATTTTAGTCTTTAGACGTTATATACTATATAATCAAAAATTTAAATATATGTGGCAAATGTAGCTAGTATAGCTGATATAGCTTGGTATAACCAAGTATAATAGTGTAACTTGTATATCGATAGAATAAAATTTGTGTAAATTTACTAAAACTAAAATAGTAGAATTTAATTTTGTATAAAAATTAATAAAACAAATATTAGGGTTATATAATTAATTAGTAATATAAATTAGTAATATAGATTTGCAGATCTTGAACATTCTAAAGAGACAGAAGTTTTTAAAAAATAGAAAAATTTTTTGTAAAAACTAAATAAAATTTTTGTAGCAGAGTTTGAAAGTATTTTGGTTGTAATTTTATTAATTTTAGTTCATTTTTTATATATTATATATCAAAATAAAGCTGTTGATAAATTAAATCTTTTTGTATTATAGAGTATTAAATATTAACTTAATAGAATTTAAGTTTTGGTTAATAGAAGTAAAATTTAGTAAAGAGTTATAATTTTGTAAAAAAGTATTTAGAAGTTTAAAGTAGTGTTCTGATATTTAGTTTGGTCTGAACCAAGTTCAGACCGAACCCAAACTAAATCTGAATCTGAACAAAGAATTTTGCAGATCTTCAAACTTGAACCAAACTTGAATATGATTGAAGTTCAGTTCAGAGTTTAATTCGAAGTTTATGAATATGTTTGGGTTTAGCATATGTATTATCTGCTTCTAAGATTTGATTTACATTATTTGAACTTTGCATAATCTTAAAGTTTTTAATAAATATCTCTAGTATCAGGCTATTTTTCTGGATTTGAGTTTATATATTGTTTCGTCAATTCAACTTAGCAGTTAGAAGTTTCAGATGCAAATTCAGGATGCAATCCTTTGCAAATTTCTAATGAAAGTTTTAAATCAAATTCATCTTTATCAAAAGGTCTTTGTCTAGTTGATATTTTTGATATGATGATTCTAAAGCTATAAATATCAGCAGCTTGTATAAGCTTTTGATACAATAAAACCTCAGGTACTACATAAGGTATAATACTATAAATATCACCTTTTGAACTTTCATTAGATTTTTTAGACAATTCTAGATCTAAAATATAAGATTGCATATTTTTACTAATTCCTTTACCCTGCAAAATATTGCTACTGTGAAAATTTGTATGAACATAGTTTGCATGATGAATCATCTATAAATCGTAAAAAACATCTTTAAGTAGTTTTAACTTAGTTTGTTCATGAAAATTTTTTCTTAAAAACTTGCGAAAACATCCATTATCAGTATATTGAAATACTATAAAGTATTTATTTTCACTTTTTTGAGTCAATCCATATATTTTAAGTTTACTACTTATAAGCTACATATTATATGATTCTCAAACTTATAATTAAGTAAATAAATTAAATAAAATAAATTAGTTTATTTATTTAATAAATTATTAAATAAATAGATTTAACTTACTTCTTTTAGAGAACCAGACAAGGTCTTAAGTACGACAGTGCTAGATACTTCATGCGATTTTTTATAAAAATAGTTGTCATCAATTTTATTTTTTTCGATTTTTATATACTATTTAATCAGGTTGCTGAATATACAGAGCCAAATCTAATTTCTTTAATATTAGATAATCAATTAAATAGAATCTATTTTCATATTTATAGGTTCTAAGTTAGAACTTTTTTATACAATCATTAATATTTTTATTTCTACTCGTTCATCTTGTTATTTCTAAGTCAGGGGCACATGATAAATACTATGCTTTATACATATTATCTTTATTACAATAGGCATATTTTTCATATTTAGAGTCACTTTATAATCACAATACATAAATATTTTTATTTTATTTATAAATACTATTTTAAACTTTATATCCAAATGTAAATAATTTTTATTTACCAACTAAATTAATGTAAATAAAATGATTTTTGGATATTACGTCATAGTAATAATAAATAAAGTATTTATGATCTTGATTTGTAAACTTGCTTTTTTAATTCCAATAATTAATAAATGTTCTTTATACTCATATACTGAATGAATGATTAATGCGAATGAAATGATTTTTAGGTATTAAGTCATAGTAATGGTAAATAAGTATTTATGATCTTGATTTGTGAAC